TTTACTCAGTTGAATTTTGTTTTTTAACAGGTCCCAAGTAAGTCCAAAACCTAATGGGGCAAATTCCAGTAGACCTTAAGGCTCGAGAATAATCCTCTTTGGTTCAGTGCTCTGCCTTCCAGGCCCACTGGCAATGTCATCCTATGACTTGGTGGGATGACCCTGCAGCTGCTCTTTGCTGGGGCCCTGGACTGGGGTCCTACACTTGCAGCTCTTCCAGGCTGAGGTTGCATGCCTGAGGCTTTGCTGGGTAGCCCCATCCTTTAAAACCTAGGTGGAGGCAGCCATGCCCCTCCCCAGCCCCCATACTCTGGGCCTATAATGGGAGTGTCAGCCTCTGATGATGTCCGTCCGAACCATCTTTGGGGTCGTTCTTCCATTGTCTTGAAGAATAGTACTGGCTTCTGTTGAGGTAGCTAATCCATACTAATCTCCCTATCAAATGGTCCCTTGGCCACATCCTTAGTCTTCTCAATTTTTGCAATATGGATAGTCTGACAATTTTCCAAATCTTTAAATTATACTTCTTTTTGCTTAGCAATTCTGCCTTTAAATCATTTCTTTCTTCTCCAATTTTACTATAAGCAGTCAGGAGGGGCCAAGCTGCACCTTCACTTTTATTGGAAATTTCTTCAGCTAAATATCCAATTTCATTGCCTACAAATTCTACTTTTCACAAAATACTAGGACACAAACACAATTCAACTAAATTCTTTGCCACTTTATAACAAGGACGGCCTTTCCTCCAGTTTCCAATAATGTGTTCCTCATTTCCATCTGAGACTTCATCAGAATGACCTTTACCATCCATATTTCTACCAACTTTCTGTTCAGGATTACTTAGCTATTCTCTAAGAAGATTGAGGCTGTCTCTACAGCTCTCCTCTTTTTTTTTTGAGCTCTCACTAGAATGGACCACTTAATGGTCCATTCATGGCAATTTAGGCTTTTTCTAAGCATGTATTTAAAAACACTTCCATCCTCTACTCACTACTCAGTTCCAAAGCAGCTTCCATGTATTTAGGTGTTTGTTATAATAGCACCCCCACTTCTTGGTACCAATTTCTGTCTTATTCCATTCAGGCTGCTACAGCAAAGTACCAGAGTCTAGGTGGCTTATAATAACAGACCTTTATTTCTCACAGTTCTGGAAGTCCAAGAGCAGATTGTTGGCAGATTCAGTGTCTGGTGAGGACCTTCTCTTGGTTCATAGACAGCTGTCTTCTTGCTGTGTCCTCACATAGTAGAAGGGGTACGGGAGCTCTCTGGGGTCTCTTTTATCAGGGCACTAATCCCATTCATGGGGGCTCCACCTTCATGACCTGATCACCTCCCAAAGTCCCCACCCCCAAATATCAGCACACTGGGGATTAGATTTCAACATATGAATTTCGGGGGGACACAAACATGCAGTGTATAGTACTCCCCTCTCTGGAACTTTAGTCCTTTTAGTTCTTATTGTTTCTTTAGTTCTATGCCTTTAAAAATATAGTTTTATAATTTTCAGCATTTCTAACTGTCCTTAGTGAGAGTGTTGTTTTGGTTATCTGATCTGTGTAATAAACTACTTGTAATTATTCTAACTTAAAACAACAACCACGGTATTATATTTTACAATATTTTGCATCAGAAATTTGAGCAGGGCTCACCTGGCCAATTCTGCTGTTTGTGATATCTACTGTGGTCAGTTGGTGGTATTCAGCTGGTGGCTGGTCTTGTCTGGAAGGTCTAAGATGGTTTATTCTAAAGGTGATCATTGTCATCTACCTTTTTCTCCCCTCCTTCATATCCAATCCATTTACCAGTTCTGTCTCTCTTGAATTCATCAACTTTTCTCCATACCACTGCTGTCCCCCTAGTTCAGGCCATCATCATCTCTCTTCTGAAAGCTACTGACAATAAAGTTGCTGGTCTCTAAGCATTCAGCATAGTCCCCTTCAAATCTATTTTCCAGGGTGATCTTAAAACATAAATAAGATCATCTTACTTCCTTGTTTGAAACCCTTCTATGCCTTTCATTGCACTTCAAGCTGAAATACAAATTCATTACTATGGCACACAAGGCTCTGCCTCATCTAGGAACTACTCTTTCTTTCACTCACTGAGCTCCAGCTACATTGAATTATTTATGCATTTATTCCACAAATATATTTTTATTTATTTATTTATTTATTAAAGATTGGCACCTGAGCTAACAACTGTTACCAATCTTCTTTTTTTCTTCTTCTTCTCCCCAAAGCCCCCCAGTACATAGTTGTGTATTCTAGTTGTGAGTGCTTCTGGTTGTGCTATGTGGGACACCGCTTCAGCATGGCCTGATGAGCAGTGCCATGTCTGTGCTCAGGATCTGAACCAATGAAAGCCTGGGCCGCTGAAGCAGGATGCACGAACTTAACTGCTCAGCCATGGGGCTGGCCCCTATTCCACAAATATTAATTGAGTGTCTTCTATTGCTCAGCACTAGGCCTGCAGTGGTGAACAATCCAGTGGTGAACAACTGCTCCACGAGCAATTTCCCATGTAGCTTATATTCCCATGGAGGGAACAGATAATAAATAAAGTCAATAAATAGTGTTTTAAATGGCAATAATTACTAAGGGAAAAGAGCATAAAAGAGAGATAAGAGATTGAGGAGGTATGTCATTTTAGATATAGTGGCCAGGGAAAACTTTGTTGAGAACAGACATTTGAGCAAAGATTTGAAAGAAGTGAAGGAGCAAATCACATGGATATTTGGGGAAGATAACCTGACAGATGTATAATAAGTAAAGAGATTGAATCAGTAATAAAAAATTTCCCATAAAAGAAAAGTACGTGACCAGAAGGCTTCACTGGTGAATTGCACCAAACATTTAAAGAAGAATTAACATCAATCCTTCTCAAACTCAAAAAATAGAAGGAGAGGGAACAGTTCCTAACTCATTCTATGAGGCCAGCATTATCCTGATACCAAAGCCAGATAAAAGACATGACAAGAAAAGAAAACTACAGATCAATAGCTCTTATGAAGATAGACGCAAAAATCCTCAACATAATACTAGCAAACTGAATTCAGCAGCATATTAAAAGAATCACACACAGCATGACCAAGTAAGATTTATCCAAGGAATGCAAGGATGGTTCCATATGTGAAAAATCTATCAAAGAATCAATGTAATAACACCACATTAATAGAACAAAGGAAAAAAACTCAACATGATCATCTCAATTGATGCAGAAAAAATCTTGACAAAATCCAACACCCTTTCATGATAAAAATATTAAAAAAGCTAGGAATATAAGGGAACTTCCTAAACATGATAAGGGCATTTATGAAAAACCTTCTGCTAATATCATACTCAATGATTAAAGACTGCCCTCTAAGATCAGGAAGAAGACAAGGATGCCCACATTCACTTCTATTCGATATTGTACTGGAAGTTCTAGCTAGAACAGTTAGGCAACAAAAAGAGATAAAAGGCACCCAAATTGGAAAGGAAAAATTAAAACTATCTCTCTTATGGATGACATGATCTTATATATGGAAAACTCCAAGGACTCCACAAAAAACTGCTAGAGGTAATAAATGAATTATGGCAAAGTTGCAGATTACAAGCTCAATATTCAAAAATCAGTTGTTTTTCTATACAAAAGCATGAACAATCTGAAAATGAAATTAAGAAAACAATTCCACTTACAATAGTATAAAAGAGAATAAAATACTTAGAAATAAATTTAACCAAGGGGGTGCAAGACTTGTACAAGGCCCGGACCCTGGCCCAGTCACCTCCCGTTGCAATAGGGGTCCCTGGCAGAGACTCCCCTCTCCCAGGCAATGCCGCCCCCCAGCCCTGCCGTCATCCCCAGCCCCGCCCGCCTCCAGCCGCACCTTTCCTGTTGACTTGACCCCCTTCCAGACACAGAAGGACACCAGCACCCAGCAGGCCAGCAGACACAGGGTCACCTCCCAGTTGAGGCCCCTGGCACCTCCAGCCCCCCAGAGGGCTGCAAGACTTTGCTCCCGGGGGAGGGAGAGCCCATGAGGGCTGTGCCAGCAGAGGGCAAAGCGACGGGGAGCTGTCCCAGGGGTGGTGCTCCCCCTCGTGCAGCCCTGGAGGCCAGCTGGTCCCTCCTGGGCCCGCTACTCGCAGACTCGGGCCACGTGTGGAGCCCAGAGAGGGGGACAGGCCGCCCGGCCCAGAGGAGCCCGACTCCCTCCCGGAACTCGATGACAGGACACTGGCGGTCGGCAGGCTGGTCACAGGCGAGGTCGGCCCGGCGGGCAGCAGCCCGGGCTCCCAGGCGCAGGACGCACGCCTGGGGCGCGGCAGCCTTGGCGGGCAACCGTCACCTGCCCAGAGGCCTGAGCACAGGGCCCAGCGCACCGCTCTCCTCCCGGGAAAGCCCCAGGGAAGGGTCGGTTCGCGCAGGCGCACTGAGGTTACGTCGTGCTCTATTGGGCGGGGCTTCACGAGGGAGTCCCATTGGCTCGGCCGGCTACAGGGTCTCTGGGCCGGCTTGGCGGGAGCCTGTCACACTCCGAGGGACTCAAAGCGGGTCTGTTTGCGCAGGCGCACTGGACATCCCGAGTTGCATTGCGCGCGAAAGGGGGGAACTCGGTGAGAGGGCTTCAGTCCCTGAGCGGCGGGCTGAGAGGGCCGGCGGATTCGGCTTGGACTCTGAGGGGAACGACGGAGTGGCAGCAGCTATGCAGGCCGCAGACGAAGGTGGCGGTGGTGCGGCCGGTGCGAGGGGTGGCCCCAGCGGCCCTGGAGGCCCTAACAGCCATAGTCCCCCCAGCGTTCTGGAAGGCCGGGGTGCTCCTGTCAGCCCTGGCGGCCCCAGCGACCAAGTTAGCCCTGGCGGCCCCGACAGCCAGGGCGGCCCTGGCGGCCCCAGGGCCCAGGGTGGCTCTGGCATCCCTGATGGCCAGGGTGGCCCTGGTGGCCCGGGCAGCCCTGGAGACGAGGGGGCGGTGGGGCCAGCAGCCGTAGGTGCTCCCGATGTCGCACGGCAGCACTTGAGTCAGGGCTAGGTGGAGATGCAGCACCAGTGGATGTAGGACCAGAAAACCGACAGATGGTCTTGTATCCTTTCCATTGAGCCCCTGCGGCCTGGTGGCCACAGGATGGGCCAGGGACGTGTCAAAAGGCCCGGCACAGGGCACAGGGCAGCCGGGGGCTGGGACACACAAAGGGGAGCAGTGAGGGGAAGCTGGGGTAGCCTGACGCGGGGTGGGGAGGGTGCGGGTGGGGGCGGGGGCGGGGAATTGACGCCTGAGGAGGCTGGAGGGTGGGGACACAGGCCGGAAGGAGCGGGGGAGGTGGGACAGGGTGAACTGAGTGAGGAGGGAGGCGGGCAGCCCAGGGTGGCCTGAGCTGGCAGGACTGGGTTTGTGTGTTCGAGGTGAGGGTGGGGGTGGACGGCCTGAGGGGAAGCTGGGGTGAAGGCCAGCCTCTGAGACGTGCGAAGCCTGAGGCACCAGCAAATTCAGTAGCAGATGGTGCCTTAACCATGCCTCCCCCAGCACACTCACCGTGCCTTTCCGGTCCCCCCTGGAGGCAGAGATGGCCCGCAGGGCCTTGGCCCCAGAAGCCCAAGGCCACCAGCAGGCGGTTCAGAAGGAGTGCGCCGTGAACGGCAGCGTCCTGGCTGTGTCAGTTCTACACGGAGCTGAGATGGGGGTGGCGGCAAGGGCTCAGGGCCTGAGAGCCAATCTCAGCCGGAGGGGCTCGGTGATGGACACAGGGAGACTCTCAAGTGTCAGGTCTCCGGGGCGGGTGTGGTGTGCTGGGTGTAAGAGAGAGTCATCACCTTGAACTTGATCTTTACCCCTCGCTTTTAGCAGATGGACTGCTGAAGACGCTGACCTCCTCCAGATTTCCATCAACTCCTTCCTGGACCTGCTTGCCCTCGTGGTGGGGAGCATTCAGCACTTTGGACTCCCACCTCCGCTTAGCTTAGGCTGAAGAAAGGGGACTGAGGCCAAACTGTTTTGTCCCCTACTAAGCAAGGCGTAGGGAATTGATACTTGGAGTACTTGCCACTTTAATATTGGGATCTAATTTTTTGCCTGTACTGGCCCTTGGTATCTCTTGGTCCACTTGTTTTATTTCCCTGTTGCTGGAGGAGGGGATGATTAAACGTTTGTTACAGCAGAAAATAAAACTGAGTTCTATTTTGTGTCTGAGTTTCTTTTCAGCTACTGCACCTCAAGATTTTCTTGCCTTTGTCCTTGTGTGGGACGCGAGGTTCTGGGATTCAGATAGTCCAGTAGTACCAGGTAACTGAACACAACTTAGGAAAACGAAAACCAAGTCCCGTGTTCACTAGATACTGTCAACATTTTGCAATATTTTCTTAGTTATATTTACACATTAAATGTATAACAACGTATAATGTGTCAGTTTTCAAGTTTAGCATAATTCTTTTCCTTTTTTTCACTTACCATACTAGCTTTTCCACTTTCTAAAAACCCCTCAAAAAAATGTTAGTGAGTGGATGCGTAAAGTGCGTTATATTCATAATGTTGGACAGTTAAAATTGTTATCAGTTTTGCCCCTGTTATAGACAAGGATTCAATGGAATTCTTGTACGTAAGTGTTTGCATGAATGGTTATTTACTTAAGATAGATTACAAGAGGTAGAATTACCGAGTTAAATACGTTCATTTCTATTTATTTTCTTAAGCTTATCAATCTACAGTATACAAATGCTCTCCAGAAAATATGCCCTCCCACAGAATTCTGGTCCTCCCGCACATCCGTGTCACCGTTAGGTTGGCTTCCTGCCAAAATAAAAAGCATTTTTTTTTAAATGAGAGAAGTACACACAGAAACACTAGAATAGGAATTCGGGGGCTTACCGGCCTTGTTTCAGTGAAGAAGTGCTGGGACAATTGGCTAAGTGTTGGGGGGGCTGGGGTGGGCAGCTCCCTCTAAATAGCTTGTGTCTTGGAACCTTGCTAAACTTACGACTAATGGCTAGTAACTTGTAGATGCCATCAGATTGTCCACATAGACAATCATATCTGTAAGTAAAGCAGTTTTATTTCTTCCTTTGTAATTTGGATGCCTTTTATTGGTTAATCTCTCTCCTCATTATGAGTTGGATTTTCCCGCTGCTCTGCATGCCTGGTAATTTTCGATTGGATGCCAGGCATTATGATTTTCCCTTGCGTGCTGTGTATTTTTGTATTCCTAAACATCTTCTTAAGCTTTGTTCTGGGATGCTGTTAAATTATTTGGAAATAGTTTGATTCTTTTGAGTCTTGCTTTTAAGAATCATTCCGTGAGACCAGAGCAGCTTTCAGTGTCAGAATCAATCTTTTCCATGATCCTGAGGCGAGACCCTTCTGAGCACCCTGCCCGAGGCCGCCTGAATTATGAGGTTTGCCATTTTGGCCAGTGGGGGGGGGGGGGGGGGCAGCCACTAGTCCCTGTCCTGCTGTAGGGCTGGGCATAGTTAACCTTTCATCCTTTGGGGGAAGGGAGGGGTCCTTTCACGGCCTCCCTCCAGTAGTTTCCTCACACACTTGTGCTGATCGGTGGTCTGCAGATTGCTTCAGCAGGACCCCCTGCGGATATGCAGGGTTCTCTCCCTCTGCAGCTCTCTTCTCTCTGGTCCCCTGTCCCTGCCAACTCTAGGTGCTCAGAGTTTCAGTTCCATCTCCTAAACTCAGGGTGTCCGTTGGGCCCCATCAGGAAACGCCCTCTCCAGTCAGTCAGCTGGGGCAACTGCAGGGCTTACCCATTTGTCCCCAGCTCCAAGAGACCACTGTCCTTCCCTGCCTGATAGCTGGTGTCTCCAAACCTGTAGTTCAGATCTGTTGTCTGTCTTTTGGGGTGTTTCAAGTGGGACGGTAGGTCCAGTCCCTGTCACTCAGTATGCCTGGACATAGTCCGCCACTGCAGAACTTGGACAGCTCTGATGTTGTGGGTTGGAGGGAGAGAGATGCTGTTGACGGGGCTGTGGCAGTGGTCCTGATGATGATGAAGAATCTCACCTGACAGCATGCAGCAGCTCTAGTGGCTACAGTGAGGGTCTCTCTCTCTCTCTCTTCCGTCCTTCCTTTCTCTCTCTCTCTCATTCTTTCTTCCTTTCCTTCCTCCCTTGCTTCCTCTCTTCCTTCTTTCTTTCCTTCCTTCCTTACTTTTTTCTTTCTTTCTTTCGTCCTTTCTCCTTTCTTTCTTTCCTCCCTCCCTCTGTTACTAAACACAAACACAGGTTTCTTTAACCACCACACAGGAGGGCCAAAATCTTGAAATGCCAGGCTGTGGTAAAGAAAGAGGTTTATTATCAAAAGGCTGCCAGACAAGAAGATGGGAATTAAAACACAGATCCACCTCCTTGAAGGGAAAAAGGTAGTGGTTTCTATCTGGGGTTTTAGATAGGGGAGGGACAGCATGTGGCCATGCTGGGTGGCGTCTTCCCACCAGCCTGCGTTTGGCCTTGAAGACTGAAATTCTTTGTCCTTGACCTTCTGGACTTTTCTGGTTAGTTTTCATCTTCAGCCTGCGTTTGGCCTTGTGAGGCTGACTCTTGATGTCTGGACCTTGACTTCCTGGGAAACACAGCTCAGTCACATACTGAAGAGTGACAGAAAGACCTGGTTAGTTTTGAACAACAGTTGATTATGCTGAATATGCACAGCTGCAGTTAGCAAAGCTTATCTCAAAGTTTCTTGCTCTAGCGGAGATGTTTTAGCTTCTTTGTTCTCAGTTTCAATCCTCACTGTCTTATGATCACTCCTCAATCTTGGGGAATGGAGGCAAAGACTGTTCTAGCTACTTCCTGCTGTGGAAGGGTGAAGAGCGTGGTCAGAGGAATGAGACTGTTCTACCTATATTTTAAAATATTTTGAGTACCAGATGGAAAGAGCAAGATATGCTTTGCACGATTAATATTTTAGTACTCTGATCAATGGCTTTGGAACAACACAAGGTCACATTTTATAATTATATAGATGACCACACACATTAACAAAATAGACATTCCAAGTTTTAGTATCCCCTCCATAATGGACCTCAGTACTTGGGGAATCCAGGAGAAGAGGCCCATAAACCAATCGAGGTTAGTGCCTAGAAGCCCAAGTGAAAGCTGATGTAGCCAAGTAGCCTGCTGTCTAATAGTCAAACAAGTAAGGGAAGAACCTGGGAATCATTTATTACTTATCTTTAGGAGTCCGTCTTCTGTACAGCAACTCATGGTCTCTCAGGGGTTCACTTCTTCATTCAGAAAAGTTAGTGTCTAGAGTATGAAGCCAGTCAAGGTTTGGATGATCCCAGTTGTGATGTACTTTCAAGGCATGGTTCATATTCCTTGTGGCATTTTTTGTGTGGCCCCATCCAGCAGGGGCGAAGTCCAGGATTTCAGTAGGACCACGTATTTCTCCATGACAAAGATGATACAGAGAAACATCTGACAGTGTCTGGTTCCCTCCAGGTCTTTTGGATTATCTCTAGAACATAGGAAGGATCTCCCAAGGTTAGGCCTATGTTATGTAAGCAAGCAACTAAGTATTTAATAAGAAGCATTTCTAGAGGAACAAAAAGAAAAACAAGGTTAATAGTTGGAGCAAATTATAAACCAATTTCTGAGCCCAGGGGATGGCCACTCAAGATTTTTTAGATGTCAGTTCGAAGAAACATTTTGAATGGCTTATATAGCAACAGGCATGAAAATTGTCCAAACATGGGCTATCATGCTCTTTTTTCTTACGTTTATATAAGGCTGTCCAGCTTCAGTTTGGGGGGCTTCAGGAAAAAGGGAGGTTTTAGTTCTCAATGATTCCAAGTGAAAAGGACAGGAAAAAATTGAAAATGTTAATTTGGAGATCTGTACCAGACATTTGAGGAAACTAGAAGAATTCAGGATCCAGTCCAGTTTACAGATAGAAAACAAAAACCTCAAAGACAATTAGCAAAACCAGAATCCAACACCCGCAAATGTGCATTATAGTCTCTATTGAAACAATTTTTCTCTGTAAAAATCACCCTCACTTTTACCAAAGATAGCCAAATTTAGACTCATTAGTTTGTAAAATAAGTCTAGTTTTAATAAACTTGGCCCGATTACTTACATAAGTACGGCAAGAATAGCAATTGATCATATACGCTCTTTTAAATCTACTTTGCTGGAACTTTTTATAAGGAATCTCAGATTGAACTTTAAAGACCTGTTGAGCCCAGGAAAACCAAGCCAAGGACTTGTCATCAGACTCTGCCTGCAATACCTATAGATTCAGGTGAGTCCCTCTCTTCTCAAGGTCCCCTAAATATCCTGAGGTTCCTTGCACCTGCCAGAGAAATGACTTTCTTTCTTTCTTTCTTTTTTTTTTTTTTTAAGATTTTATTGTTCCTTTTTCTCCCCAAAGCCCCCCAGTACATAGTCGTGTATTTCTAGTTGTGGGTGCTTCTAGTTGTGGAATGTGGGATGCTGCCTCAGCATGGCTTGATGAGCAATGCCATGTCCATGCCCAGGATCCGAACCGGCAAAAACGTGGGCTGCCAAAGCAGAGCACGCAAACTTAACCACTCGGCCATGGGGCCAGCTCCTGGAAGTGACTTTCTTTACCCACCTAGTAAGGTTGTTGGGAACCCTGTAATCAAGGTAATGGGCCAATATTTCCACGTGGCTTTAGTCCATAAAGTCAATCCTTGTTCCTCAAAGCTCTTTGGTCAAATCTGAGTTTATACATATTTTTTCTCAAATATGACATTCCAGTCAAAGCCTTGGTAATATAACCAGTGTTTCCAATTGTGACTTGCTATAAGAAGAGCAGATTCTTCCTGAACTTATGCAAACAACTATATTGTCATGAATATAAGAACACTCATTCATCAAGAATTTTCAAATTCTGGAGGGATAAGATAGGGAGAAAAAGATAAATGCTTCAATTCTGCTTACAAATTGCTATAAGTCATAGTTGCTTAAGAAAAAAGAGAAAGTTTTTTTTCTCTGAAAAAACAAAACATTAAAAAATCCGCAATATTTCAAATGAAAAGTCATAAGAATTATAATCATCCTCATCAATTTATTTAGTCCCGTGTAGCCGATTTTTGATCCTTTGTTAGCAGTTTTATGAGGCCATCAGTTTCTCCATTAGAGTTCTGTAATTTCTTACCCAGCTCAGTTTCATAACCTGGAAGTTTATCAGAAACCTTTA